ACACACTCCACACGGCCAGCACCCCAAGTCCAGAATTGAAACCAGGGCCCCAGGGCTGCAAGGCAGCAATGCTAACTGTGCCATCATGTAGCCCTCACTGTTCTTATTAAATATAATTTGTCAGGAACCACAACAATACACAGCAATAGATCACCCAGACACATTAAAAAAGCAGCACCAATACAGACCGACCTGGCACACCAGTTATGATAGTTAAAAGGTCGGCCAGCAGGAGCCTGGGTTACGCAGTGCAGTGCTGGTTACGTCCTGGTCAAATGAAGGACAATATCTTTGATGGGGCACTCACAATTGCAGGCTGCCCCCGGAAGCATTAAAAAAACCCAGCGAGAATCAGCCCGTGCCCTCTCGCGCTGCTGGCGCCTCACCTCCTGGGCGGTGCAGTGCTGGACGGAGCGGCGGTAGCGGAGGATGCCACGGCGGCGCAGTGGACTCTGCACCACGCGGATAGGGAAGGTCTTCTCATACATGGAGGTGTAAGACTGGTTTGCCAAGCTGCCCCCTTCTGCACAGGAGGACAACGGTCTGCAGAAGGGAGAAGGAAGCCAGTGAGAGCTCGGCATGAGAAAGGGGAACAGACACTTCATCTAGGGACCGCAGAGTGTGGGGCTGGGAGGAAGTCCCTTTCTAGAACAACAAAAATTAATTACAGGCATTATCCATACCCCCACGCAACAACAATCAGTGAAAAGTATCAAAACAAGCTGCAAAACATGGAAGATAAAATTGGGATCAGTTTGCAAATACTGGAGAGCAACATCAACATCAAGATTATTAGGGATTACAGGTTTTGCCCTGGGCGTGACACCTGCACGTTGCAGGACCCTTTATTATCACTGTTCTGAGGAGCTCACACTGAGCACAGTACCTTTTTTCTTCTAGATTATTTGTTCATTGACTTAATGCCGTGTAAAACTTCATTGCAATTAAGCACGATCTGCACTCTGAGTAACGTACCACTGCCCTGCAGATTTCCATCCTGTGGGTCTGTCGCATAAGTACCCACGAATTAACAAACTGGCCTTTTCATCGGGTTACTGACATGACCTCAGAGGTCAAAACCAATTAACCTGGACCTGCAGTGCTCCAGTGGCATGGAGGGGTGGGGCTTGCCAGGCGCTCAATGGCGTGCAGTGGTGTCAGCAGGAGATGCAACTCACCACCAAGCCATGCCAAGTCTCCTGTCAGGTACGTCCACAGAGCACATGCACACATACTGAACCCCCTCCCCCCGGGAGGGGACATGAGTCACTGATGTGAGCCTATCCCAGCAAGCAACGGGTACAAGGCAGGTGGAAAAAACGCACGCAGAGAGAACATGCAAACTCAACACAGATAGCACCCCAGGTCCCCCAACCATTACCCTGCTAATCAGTGCTGTTACCTGGGCGCAGTCCGTGGTCCCAGCAGCAAGGTCCTGTCCATCTTGGGGGAGGAGGGAGGCTGTTTCAGGCTGCAGGCAGGGGGCGCTCTGACAGAGTGCCCATTGGTCTTGTGAGTCTCACAGGGCAAGGGGCTGACTGGCGTCTTGCCATCTGTCAAACCCGCAGCCAGTTTCTCATTCCGGAGCAATGCTACAAAGAAAGGGGGAGGAGCTTAAAAACACGCTTCACAGCAGACTGCTGTCCGAGTCTCAGGAGAGTCTCAGGTGTGCCAGCAGCCATATCACCCTGCAACTCACAACTGGCAACCCACTGAAGCTAAGCAGGTGTGAGCCTTGTCAGTACCTGGATGGGAGACCACCTGGGAAAAACTAAGGCTGCTGCTGGAAGAGGCGTTAGTGGGGCCAGCAGGGGGCGCTAACCCTGCGGCCCATGTGGGTCCTAATGCCCAAGTATAGTGACGGGGACACTATACTGTAAACAGGCGCCGTCCTTCGGATGAGATGTAAAACCGAGGTCCTGACTCTCTGTGGTCATTAAAAATCCCAGGGTGTTTCTCGAAAAGAGTAGGGGTGTACCCCGGCATCCTGGCCAAATTTCCCCATCGGCCTTTATCAATCATGGCCTCCTAACAATCCCCCTCTATAAATTGGCTTCATTACTCTGCTCTCCTCCCCACTGATCGCTGGTGTGTGGGGAGCGTTCTGGCGCACTATGGCTGCCATCGCATCATCCAGGTGGATGCTGCACATTGGTGGTGGTGGAGGGGAGTCCCCATTACCTGTAAAGCGCTTTGAGTGGAGTGTCCAGAAAAGCGCTATGTAAGTGTAAGCAATTATTATTATAATTATTTAAAGAGCGCAGCTGTCGGTAGTTCTCCGTCAAGTCCAGGCCAGCAGATTTGGATTCGTCACGCCAAGATGGCAATATTACACTTATTATTTAATAATAATATAGTACCTTTAAAAGTATCTTCTCTAAGCACTGTATAGGAAAAGTTAAAAAAAGTTCAAACAAATGAACAAAGTGACAAGGACAGGAGATGAGAGAAGCACAAGGAAACACAAGGGATTAGAAATGTAGGAGAAGATGCAAGGAACAGACACATAAAAGCCTTTCTGATGAAGAAGGTGTTGAGTCTGCTCAGCATGAGAGGGCCCTAGAACCCACAGAATGTAAACGAGCTTGGGGGACAAACAGGAGACGGGAATGACACGAATGAAGGTTGTGAGGTGGGGAGTAGAAAGCTCAATCAGACAGTCAGATTATTACACCAAATCACCAGCTGTAAAAGCCTCTTACCTCGCCTAAAGGTGGTTTTCCACTCCAGCGCTGGTGAAGGGGCCACAAAGGTCTCTCCCAGAGAACCAGGAGTCCTCACAGGGAACTGCAGGGGGAAAATAAACTGTGAGAGAAAAACAATGGCTCTGCTGTGCCATTCTTACCAAGGCTCAAGCGAATCCCAGACAAACCGGGGCTCAGAAAGACGGGAATTAAGCATCGCTTTCCCTTATGGAATGCATAAGGGGAACAATGATATTGCAGGACGTCCAGTCATCCAGAACTCTCTCCAGGAGCAGCTGGAGACCCAAGCCACAGTCCTGCAGAGCAGTGGCAAGCCGATCGCCCTATTCCATATCATATCCGTCCTCAAAACCCCCCACGTTTTACAGGTAGTAGCTTCATTAATTTGGCTGACAATTTTATCCAAAAAGGCTTCAGTGACGCACAGACTTGCGTACTCATATATATACTCCTCAGGAATGCTACAGTTGCTGTTGTCCCCTTGACCACAAAGTTTTTTCAAACCTGGGGTTCCAATCCACAACCCTGCAGCTCCAGAGCCCTAACCAATGCGCCACACTGCTGCCCGCAGTTAAAAGCCACACAATCCAAATGCCTGCAACAGGTTTTAAGGACCTCTGAGCCCACATTTCATTCCTGTAAATGGGAACTAATGCAGTCCTAATGTCTCAGACCAGTTATTAAATCTCATTAACTATATAAATTAATTAGACAAATTACAAATTAAGCACTAAAATTGTGAACTTCGTGAAAGTACTGTATAGTCGCCGTGGGCAAGAGTTTGCGAGAACTGTGACTTGAAGCAGCCCTTCCTGCTCACTAGTCACTGTAATGACCAATGTGCTGTGAATAAGTACAGGTTGTGCAGCAGACTTTTCACCACAGAAATACTCCAACGTGATCTGCATCCAGAGTTGACAAGTAAGTAGTATTTGTCGGCAATGACCAATAAAAAACAGTCTCAAAGTCAAGAGTAATAATTCTACTGGATTAAAAGAGATGAATTCACAAGCCTGCTTGTTCACCGTGTATCAGGGCTGCTTCAACTGACCGGATGTTTTGTTGCTTCATTCTGAATCGTAGATCATGGCGCTGCGCATTCCTGGAAGTTCTGACTATTTTGTGATGTAAATTGGCGGTTTTACACATCACTGCGTACATTTGACTTTCATTATGGTTTGAAATGCACTCATCAATCCTGATTCTTTCTGACCCCAAAATATAAAAACAGAGTTGCCATTATCCTTTAAGAGCACTAAGAGAGACTGAAGTTCCCAGAAGGCCCTGCAGCTCTCTGGAGACAGGAGGGAATTTGCTGACGGGCACCAGAAACTCGGTCTCGCCCCGGGGTCGAGGGGTCGAGGGAAGGTGGCACACGCACCTCACAGTCTCTCCACGCAGAGGTGGTGGGGGTGGGCGTGGGCTCGGGTGGCTCGGGCGGGCCAGGCGAGGCAGGCAGCATGGCCCTCAGCGAGGGGCTGACGTTGTTTCGGACCCAGGACGCCACGCTGGTGCCGCGGACCCTCACTCCTTCCGCCGCCAGCTTCACCGTGTCCACCAGGTCTCCTGGCACACGAGGAAGAGACAGGAAGTCAAGGGAAACCGATAAGAACAAATACTACCCTTGATCTTGGCCAAAATCAAGAGAAAACCCTACCCTAATCTTGGGCAAAGCATACTCGATCATCCATCAGGGCTGGCTGGAAAGCCCCAGGCCCTAGCCAGTGAGAGATGATCTCTGTCTCCTTCACCTCCCTGATCTCCATCTCTTCATCTCCTCGTTTCTCCATCTAGCCATTCTCTAACCACTTCATCCCATTCAGGGTCACGGGGGAGCCGGAGCCTATCCCAGTAAGCAACGGATGCAAGGAGGGGTCCACACTGGACAGGACGCCAGTCCACCACAGGGCACAGAGAGAGACACACTCACACCAGGGCTAATTTTCTCAGAATCTCTCAACCTACCAGGATGTCTTTTTTGACTGCGGGAGGAAAACAGAGCCCAAGGAAGAAATAATTTTATTTTATATAGTGCCTCTAAAAGCTGATACTCAAACTGCTTTACAGTAACAAAAAGCTCACCATGAGAGGAGACAGAGGAATTACACAACTACAACAAGGTTCTGGAATACAGTAGGAAAGCAAAGTGTCAGACAGAACTAGTTAAATAAACATCCTTCTAAAGAAGATCTTGAATCTTATTTGCAAGAGCTCAGGGAGGGTGACTCAGATATCCTTAGGGATAGAATTCCAGAGCTTTGGGGCATCCCACGTGAACATGAGGAGAACATACCGGCCTGGAATTGAACACAGGGCCCCAGTGCCGCAAGGCAACAATGCTAACCATGGAGCAACCATGCCGCCCAATTCCAGATCACGTGATGAGCAATTGCAAGCAAACTAGCTGAAAAGGTTGTTTTTTTATCATTCTTAAAATAGTCTTATTCACAACATGGAACAGTCCGTAATATAAAAGTACACATGCTCAGTGCGTGGCACCACCCTTAGAGGGATTTTGAACACACCTATTCTCCTGAGTCACTGCAACTCATCACACAATCGGCGCTGCTCAGATAAGCCTCAGATAAGGAAAAGCTGAACTCCACAGGGTGCCACCTGAACAGCGACCGAGGACACTCTTCTGCTCCCAGCTTACCACAGCCCAAAACTTGAGAGCACAGCCGGGTGGAAGCAGTCCCAGAGCATCCAAAAACAAAAAGGGACTGCGTTCGTCTTCCGTTTTGGCAAACGGACAGACAGTGCGTGCACAAGCCAGCGGCTCAATTAAAGTCATCATCGTTTTGAGCTCACTTGGAGTGAAAACCAGAGGATACAGGGGGCCTCTCAATCAGGATTGGGAACCACTGCCCAACGCGTTCAGTCTAAAAAAAAAAACTATCGTTTAGTCTTGAACTGAGAAGACTACAGAAGGGGACAAGCACCTGGTTCAAGTATTCAAAACCCTCAGGGGGACTGACAAACTCAACCCAGTGGACTTCTTCAGAACCAGTGGTGAAACACAAACCACTAGTGGAAACTAAGTGAAGCGCATTTAAAAATTGGGAACAGGAAACAATCCTTTACACAAAGAGTCATGGGAGTCTGGAACAAGCTATGGAGCCACGCTGTCAAAGCCAACAGCCAGAGTGTGACAACGAACAGCCGGAGGAGAACCTTGGACTGATTATCTACTACAAACTGAAACAATTTTTTTTTTACATTCGCTATAAAAATAAAAACCCAGCCTCTCACCCATTCTGAATTTCTTCATGGCTCTGTCCTCAGCCTCAGTGCAGCCTCCATCCAGAACACTGAAGAGCAAAAAAAAAAATACGGCATTTAACAACTGCACAAGACTCACAGGGAAGTGCAGTGTTCATTTGATGCAATGAATAAATGAGGTTTTAACGTAGCCTACTTAAACAGGGGCGGTTTAAAACAAGAGCTGTCAAGAGGGGAAAAAAATGTTACCCACATTAGCACATTGTTTGTTCTTGATTTTGAAGTAGGTGCAGAAGAATTTAACAAAGAACTCAACTGTCAACACATGTCAAACACAAGTTGAAAAGACCAGGGGGTAAGAAAAGCAGGTGGAGAAACAGAATCAGCCGGTTTGCAAGGGCTACAAACAGAAGGTGGCTCTGGTAAGGCTGCATTAGCAAATATCTGGATATTATAGTATAGTATAAGGCCTAGCTTACAGCAAGCTTACCCGCTTTCTTGGCGTCAATCTAGATCTGTTGTAGCATATTAGTTAAGAATAGGATGTACTCACGTAATAATCCTTTCGTGACAAACTAACCCCAAAAAACAAACTTATTTTTTTTTCTAAGCCAGAGCGCTTAAAGGCGCGAATTATTTCAGTCCATCACCTATTCCCACCGACTTCACTGATTTACGAAAAAAAAGATCATACGATTAATTTAATTTGTGTGACTTTACACCCACCAGTTCAGGGATCTTTTTCTGCCCCTGGGGCCGTCTCGAACCTCATCCGTCTCCGCTACCACCGCGACTTCGTCTCCGTCCCTCAGGGAGGCGATACCGGTGCCCAGCCACTCGCGGATTTTGTTAAACATTTTAAAACTCAGTAAAAATATGATAAAAAATAAATAGATAGTCACCCAAGCTCCAGAAAAGCGTCTGAGTCACATGCAGTTTAAAAGCTCTGAGGTCCCCGTCCCCCGTTCACCACTGCCCGGGTATAACAGTACTCCGCACCCCGAGTCAGAGAGAAGAGAACCCCCCTCGGACAGCAAACCTGTTCTCTCACAGCCCTGAACTCACTTTTCGCCCGTTTTTCCTCCTCGGTAATTTTTAAACATTTTCCAATATTTCAGCTCTCCCCTCCCACTCCGTGGGGGAAAATCACCTATCAAAAACTAGGAGAGAAACCGGAACGGAAAAACTCAACTATGCTCTCCCGCTTCTTCCTCATTCAAACCACAACATGGCCGAGGCCCACCCACCACCATCCGGGGTCTCTATTGGACGAGCAAACCGAGAGGAGACGAAGGAGCGCCAGTGTGCGGCTCCGAGATTGGCCGGGGCCGGGCTGCGGTCATCTGTCTGACTGAACAGGCTGTTTTTGATGTAAACAGCGCTGAGATGTACCGTGATCTTCGGAATGACGGAAAAAGGGACAATTTAAAAGTTCTTAATTTTTAGTAGTTATAGATTTTTATGTTATTAAAACATGTTGGACCGTCGCTTAAACTGGGAAAAGTATTCTTAAGTTTTTAATATTATTTGTCAAGCGTTTCGTTTTTAACCATCCGTAAACCTTTTGTTGAGTTCTGGTAGTAGATTTATTTCAGAAAATAATTTCAAATAAATAATTTTTTAATTATCGTTAAAAAATGATGATAGCAATAACGGAATGAGAAACTGTAAGAAACTGGAGACGAACAACTCGCTCGGATTGAGCGGTGCTGAGTTATATTTCAACTCATTTGAATTTGCAAGGAAATGTATTGATAGTTTGTTCAACCGTTTTAACTTTTCAGCATTTGATCAAACCTGTCTTCTGGGTATGTACCAGTCGAGTTTTTACTATGGCCATCTTGAAGTGAAAATTCTTAATTCGGTCTTTATTAACCTGATCATTGCCCGCAGCCTTTGTCTTTGCACATACTCTGGTAAGGCTCATTAGGCATGTGAGTCAACAGGAATCTCCTTTCCTTCCTCAACTCAAGTTCACGTTCACGTTTGTCATTCCAGCCATATACAAGTATACAGTGGAACGAAATATCGTTCCTCCTGGTCCACAGTGCAAATACAGACAGGGCACTGACAGACATCATAGACACGATACACATAGTGCAAAGTGCAGATTGTAGTGCAAATTACAAGGCAAATACATAATACAATATACTCAACACACTGGGGATTTAAACCCTGTTTCTGGAATTGGAGTGGGTGCAAGTAGATTCCAGTGTGTTGAGGAGCCTGACAGCCTGCCGGAAGAAGCTGTTCCAGAGTCTGGTGGAGCTAGCCCGTACACTGCGATATCTTTTTCCAGATGGTAAGAGGGTGAAGAGTTTATGGCAGGGGTGGGAGGGGTCATCTACTATACCGCAGGCCCTGTGTAATCAGCGTTTGTGATAGGTGGCGGAAATGGAAGGGAGGTAGGCTCCAATGATCTTTTCAGCTGTTTCCACAATGCACTGCAGGGTCTTGCAGTCTGAAGCATTGCAATTCCCAAACCAAACAGTGACACAGCTGGTCAAGGTGCTCTCAATGGTGCTTCTGTAGAGAGTGGGAAGAATGGGCGGGGGAAGGTCTGCCCTCCTCAGTCGCCGCAGGAAACGGAGACGCTGCTGTGCCTTCTTGGCTAGGGAGGTGGTATTGAGGGACCCAAGTGAGGTCATCTGTAATGTGTACACCAAGAAACTTGGCGCTTCTAACTGCCTCCACAGGGGAGCTGTTGATGTGCAGTGGGGAGTGATCAGCGTGGGCCCTCCTGAATTCAGTGATTATCTCTTTTGTTTTGTTTGCATTAAGAGAGAGGTTGTTGTCTGTGCACCAGTCCACTAGTTGCTCCACCATTAACGAAGGGGTTGTTGTTACCAGATATAAACGGGGGTGAGCACCAAAATTCCCACACAAAAAAATAGGCTATGCTTAGACACAGGGGCTCAATCACTCATGATCCTTGCACCTAAGCTAGGCCAAAACAGCCAAAACTGCTCCAGGTCTGATAGTACCGTAATCACCAAGCACATCCTACATCTTAAGAGCTCTTGACGATAAACCAGATCAGTATGTCTCAGAACGCTTGTTGGAGGACGCCTGTGCTGTGTGCTTTTTACTCCAGCAGAGCTGTAACTAATCTCCAAAGCTTACCGGATCTTGGAAATGAACAATATCCCCGGGAGAGCTGGGGAGATCATAGAGAGAGGGGGACACCTGTTAAACGTGTTGCAGTGTCTCTTGCTTGTCTCGTTATTTCTTCTGATGTTCCTTAAGAAAATCACAATAAAAATGTGATCCAAAAGAAATGAAGAGAAACCCTTTTTTCGGGAAGTGGGCTTCGGAATTGTACCGTTTCCGGTTTGTGGTTCCAAGGGCGGGATGTAAAACAGCGAGGCTTTACATGGCCATCCTGTCGGAAGAAGGAAAATTGCTTGGGATAACTCAACGGCAGAAACACCAAAACCTCACCTCAGCCCGTTCTCTCGCGCCCCTGGATCAGATTCTGTCAGGATATGTGTGCAAGCTGGTGATGACGTTCTTATCAGTCAGCCCTGGGCTCGTGGAAGACTGGGGACAGCCAGTGATGATGTCACAAAGAATACTGACACGGCATCTGTCCCAGCCAGAACACACAGCTCCCACTGATAAACAGGTGGTTCTCATAAAAGGTACAGCGGAGCAATGAGTTTAACCCCAGATGAAACAGAGTTTCAACAAAATCAAACCATCTGCTCAATTAAAAGTATTAATGTAATTTGTCATCAGTTTAGATTTAGAATAAGAGCCAGAACACCAAGGGGCCATCCAGGACCAGGACTGGATAACACTGGACTAGAGACCAGTCAGGCCAGAGGGACACCACTTCAGTCCTGATGGAACAGAAGAAAGTATCTGGTTTTCTTCTCACTTGAGTCCTGGATTACTTTATTGAACAAGTGCCTTGTGGAAGCTCAGCCTCGTAGAAGCTTAATTAGTCTGATTCAGAAGTTCCCAATTCTGGTCACAAGGGACTGTGTCCAACAGATTTTGTAGAGCTCTCTAAATCTCCAGCTTCGCAAAAAAAACAAGGAATGGCTTCAATCTGTCCAATCAGGCAAAACAAATGGAGTAAAATTAGGTCCAAGGTGGGTAAATCCTGTATGGGGCAGCAGTCCATTACAGGATATCCACAAAAGAAGGGAGGGACAATTTAGAGATCATAATTAACCCATCCAGCATGTCTTTAAAATTTGGAAGGAAACCAGATCACCAGGACCCATGTAGACTTGGGTCCATGAGAACATGCAGACTCCACACAGAAGGTGTCCCAATCTAAAACTGAACCTCGACCCGGAGGTAACTGCACTATCATGCCATTCTACCACCTCTTGTATGTGCAATTCTATTTAATTCTTTGGGGTTTAATCCCCTTTACTCAGTTAAGAGTAAACAATGTGGGTGTTGTTTTCTATTTAAGAATAAAAGAACAGTTACATTTTTTAACTAAAGATAAATTTTCCAAAAACTTAGAAAAACTGAATCATTTTAAACATTCTTTTGTCTCTTGCAAATAAGAATGTTTTCTTCCAAGTAAATTATATGTATATCAATATGTTGTAACATTACATGCAATTAAGACACGTGAAACAAGGTAGATGAAATCAATATTGAATTATTTATTAGCAATGTAGAGAAAAATACAATATATATATATTTCATTCATCTCTCAAAAAATAAATAGAAAGAAAAATCTTAATGTTTCAATGTGCGCACAACAGAGCAGCCGGTCACAGGAGCAAGCTAAGTCTCCGCAATAGGGCCACACAAAACAGAAAAAGCTCTCCTCTCTCCTACACGTAGATATACTGTATTTTATATATACAAACAACCCTGTTAGTGTGAAAAAATACAAGTGACTCTGAACTGACCACAACGGTAATGGTCCTTTTGTAACTTTATGCAAACATCTATCCTTCGTCGTGTTAGTGTTGGTTTTCCAAAGGCCACAAATAAAGAAGTAAGCAGTAAATAGGTAAATAAATTCATCTGATTCAATACCACAGGGTCACTCCCCCCTTGACCTCAACACTGAAATCCCACAAATCCTACAGAAAGCTCAAGAAGCCAAGCGAGTTGCAGATGTTTCGACACTTGTCTTCCTTGGACAGGTGTCTTTTCCCTGAACAGGTGGAAGCTGTCAGAAAGAATGAGGGTCACATGTTTCCATATTCGGAGTTATGCAGGTCTCAGGTGACGGTCTGGATCTGCTGAATGGTCAGGCATTGTGTGATTCAACGCACAGAGATCCGGAGAGCAGGCTAATGCCTCCTAATTGAACAACGCATTGATCCAATTAGGGCATTCAGAGCTCGGCTGCAATAAAAGCCTGGAAAAAGCAAGGCTGTCCAAGACCAGGACTGGACACCCCACCCTACCCTACTCAGTCCCCCCATCTCCAACTGTGACTCAATACTCCTAATTCACAAGCGTGCAAGGGCTCAGTCTTTTAAGTTTCATCAGCAACGCTAATCAGTAGTTTTGATTAAGCCTTATTCAGGCTTTGAAGTGAAGATCTGGAAGGGCTGGAAAGAAGATCAGGAAACAAAATCCGGCTGCCAGGGACCAGTGTTTTAAACTCACACTCTTTTTGCTGGTGGTACATTTTGGCTTCACCTCACGTCTGTGGCTGAAAGTAACGAAACAATGAAACATCCACCTATCCCTCTGGACACACTGTCCAGGACCACTCGGAGTCCAGCTTTTGCAGCATCCAACCCAGCAGCTGTCAAACACCCGCGGCCAGACACCCAGCGGAAAAAGACGAAGGAAACAGGGAGCCGAGCAAAGTCAATAAGCTAAAATCCCAAAACACTGTGGTCCTTTAGGACAGGAATTTGGTCCCCCACCCTGCATCATTTCAGAATGCAAACCACGAAAAGGAGGCACCAATTAAGTGCTACTTTACACAAAGGGTGGTGGGAGCATGTGACAAGCTATCCAGTCATGCTGTTGAAGCCGATACCCTGGCTTCTTTCACAAAACAGGTGGATGAGATCCTGGGATCAGTTAACTACTGACTACCCAAGGGAGGAGATAGGCCATTTGGCCTCCTCTCCTTAGTAGCCATGTTCTTATGGATAGTGGGTACATCACTTCAGCATTCCTTCTCTTAGTTAAATACAGAAGAGCAACAGGAAAAATATCTGCAGGTGGCTTGTTTCTTGAGTATTCTGTGGACAGTCAGGCTACATAAATGAATGTCAGTGCTGAGGAAACTGAGGGGCCGTGCTCCAGGTTTTCCTGTTGATTCTACCACCTGTGTGCAGCATTCCTATGGGGAACAGCCTCTTAGACTCTATACAGATTTCTCCTACTAGACCAGAATATCAGGAGCAGGATTTTGCATGAAAATATAAATAAACACATGAAGAAAATACACAATCAATTTGACAGCATTAGAGAATGCTGTGCAACTTTAAACGACTTTCAAGGAAAGGAGGCAGCAGTGAGCTGAGGGCACAGCTCCCTGAAATCTGGACAGTACAAACAGAAATACAGAGTGGGAGATGATGGCAGGTCTGCCCCCTCCCCTGCCAGAATTAGATCCCACCCACTCATGGGCTCAGAGCGTGCCGTAAGACAGGGTCCAGTGTCACGAGAGGATTTGACACCACACCTGGGACAAGCGTGGCTCTCCCCACCCCTGCTAGGTGTAAATCCGGTCGCCCGCGGACTCCAGCCCACAGGGCGCCACTCTGTAAACAGGGGCCAATTCCACTGCACCCCAAGCCCGGGTGCTTGGCTGTGGCAGAGCTTCACGCTGTCTAGATTTCAGCAGAGGGGTTGTGATGTCACTTCTGTAAACTCGCTCAGCGCCCCCAGCCCTGTAACATCCGAGTCTAATAAAGAGTCTAATAACCAGTTGCACATTCACAACAATAACCGGCGTGTGGCATTCACCCAGACAAAGCCTGTCATGCTCTCCCTGCTTGTGTGTAGACCCAATACAGCTGCCCCCATCAGATTCCTGCACAGGAGCTTGCTGGGGTTTTAGAAGCTTATGTATAGCCTAGCGCATGGGTGCCCAAGAAGAGAAAGGAGCTATACAGTCCAAACACAGCAGCACAGAAGGCCAAAACAGAAGTTTATATATATGATTGTTTATATACACAGAGCTTTGTCATTTTAAAAAGGAGCAAAACACTGTGGAATGCAGTCCAGATTCCCTGTGGCATAAGCGTCTAACCTTAAAGGCATTTAAACACATGAGCATCTGTACCCGGGCCTTGCACAAACGCCGAAGGCCAAGCTGTCCCAGGCCATGCTGATGTGTTTGTGCCTGCTCCACTGTGTGCTTGGTGTTGTGTCGTGTGTGCTGTTCATTTTATCAGGCGTGCATTTTTAGTTTCCCCACCCTTCAGGAACGCCCAGAAAATCCCAACAGTCCTCTGCATGCAAGATCAGGCTAAAACAAGCAATGCACACACAAAAGAAGACAGCGCTCCTATCGTTACAGAAGTGGGCGATACTGTACAAGGTACAAGAGTGGGCCAACAAAGTGCAGTTTTTAAATGTATGCATCTTGGTTTATATTTCAAGAGAAGCACAAGCAGTCATCAGAGACCATGAACTTCTGAATAGCCAGTATGCACAACCGGACATTTTAACTAGCCATGTTCCTCCAGCACACAGGACACAGCACCACGGAAATGCCTACAAAAAAGTTACAGGGCCCTGAACCCAAACATACAGGAACATGGTGGGCATGCAAACACCACACAGGCAGCCAAACTACAAAGCATGAATCAAACCCAGGACTCTGGAACCGTAAGTCAGCTCGCCACCGTGCTACCACAAAGGAAAGAGAAATGAACGACATGCATCTTTCAACCACACTTTCCTGTGTTGCAGGGTCCATTATCTTAGATGACCAACTACCTGTGCTGTACTAGTTTAACTGTACTGGGGTCCCTCTAGGCCATCAAGGTAATAAAAGAGAATCTGGACCAATTAAGCCCAATACAAGGGCCAATTAACTAAATAAGGATGTTGTGTAAATAAAAAAGCAGTTTTCATGGTCAAGACTTGGCCAGTTCAGCTTCTTTTATCAGCTGTTTTTTCCTATTTTCATTCATCTTTCCTCAAAACATTTTCCTAATTCTAAAGACTCCCATGAGAAAAAAGAATCACTGTCTTCTTTAGTGGACAACAACAGCAATTAAAAATGTGCCGATGGATTATTTATTTCTGCCTACATTTGTTGATTGAACTGGCAAAGGGTTTTCCTCAGGTTGATCCCGAAGGAAGACAGAAGTCAAAACGTTTGGTCAACTGAGCTGTTCCCTTTGCTTGGCTAAGAATTGGCAATTGAAGTTACAGATTATTTTTTACGCAATCCCGAAGAAAAATTAACATAAAAATCGGTTGTACGGTCCATTACTGTAATTACTTCAAAGCTACTTTTAAAAAAAATACAGATGGAAATATACGCCAGTGTGACACTACATCTAAGCAGATAGGAAGCTTTTACAAACACAGGCCAGGGGTGCTTTAGATGCAGGCAAGCCTAGGATCTGGGGGTATCATGGATCCCTAAGATCAGCCAGCGGGAGACGATGGAGCAGACAGGAGGATCACTCCCTTTGAGAGCCAAACAGCTGCAAAAAGAAGCTGAAGATATAGATGATGTCCAGGTAAATGTTGAGCGTCCCAAATATGTACTCCTCAGGGCTCATAGCATAGCGCCGGTTTCCCATCAGCAGCTGGGTGTCAAATGCCAAGAACTGAGAGAGATGGAGAGAAATAGTCATCATCAGCTAATAATGATATTGTCAGACATAATAATAATTCCTTATGCACTTTTCTGGACACTCAATTCAAAGCACTTTGCAGGTAACGGGGAATCCCACTATCAACACCAATGTGTAGCACCTACCTAGATAATGCACCAGTCCGCTCACCAGACATCAGCTATCAAAATTTGGCCAGGAGAGTGGGGGTAATACTCTACTTTTTTCAAGAAAGGCCCTGGGATTTTTAATGACCACAGAGAACTGGATAGTCAGGACAGTTTTAAGTATCATCTGTTTTTTACAGTGCAGTGTCCCCATCATTACACTGGGGCATTAGGACCCACACAGACTGCAGGGTGAGCGCCCCTTGCTGGCCCCACTAACACCTCTTCCAGCACCAACCTTACTTTTTCCCAGGAGGCCTCCCCTCGGGGGACACACCAGGCTCACACCTGATGAGCTCCAGTGGGCTGCCAGCTGTGAGCTGCAGGGTGATATGCCTGCCGGCGTTTGGAAACACTCCTCTCCTTGTCACTGCTTAGTAAAACTCTGAGACCCATCATTCAGGCAATTAAAACTCTTTGAATTTAAGATATGAAACTGAAGATACAGAGGGGAAGCAGGGAGAGGAGACCCAGGACGCTTTATCTAAGATTAAGATCTCTTGAACCGATGGGTGTGGAGCGGCGAGGGCACAAGCTTGCACGGGACTGTGACGGTCACACCTGCTTAGCGTCCTGAAGACTTTTCTAACAGTACATTACTGTATATTTATTCACGCTGGCTATTGCATGCAATATAATTTCTTTTACCATTCTGTTTTAATCTTAAACCTAGACTCAGTCAGGCTTTTCATTGGTGTCTGTCTTTTCTCCTTTTTCCTTTTTCTACATGTTGTATCTCTATCTTTGCTTCTTTACTTCTCTTTCATGTTATTTTGATTTTATTTTTATCTTTGTTGTGTGTTCTTTGTTTTTACCCGGTAAAGTGCCCCAAACACTGTTTGAAGTACACGAGCACTGAAATAAATCCTTGTGATCTTCAAACTTTGGGCAACGCTGTTCATGAAGTATTCACTTAAAAAAGTGAGTAGAAGAGAGAGGGTTAATGTCATAATACACCTGGAGACCTCCCTCACACCTGTGCCCTCTACCTGTCTGCTACTCTGTGCACACTCACCATTGTGAAGAGTATGGCTCCCAGCACAGCGTAGAGCCCATGCAGCCAGGGCACCTGCAACAGAGCACAGGGTCAGAGAGCAGGTCAAAGGTCAAGGGTAATCATGTGATCAAAGGGTTAAGATTAGACATAAGGTCAGGGGTTACCAATGAATTACCAATGGACCACTGCTGTCAGCCAAAAGATTAAATCCTCAATAAAGAGGAAGACTTTTAGGGTTTTAGAAGCTTTCACTGTGGGGCTAAGCATTAGGGATAGACAGAGGTTAGGATTTGAGAATAGAGGTGATGTGAAAGTTCAGGATGGGGGTCAGGGGTCATGCTGTGGAGGTGCATATTGTGGGGGAAGCGGGGATACTCACATATCCAAAGGGGAGGACAATGGAGAGGATGATGCTGCTGAAGAAGAGCACCATCACCAGGACAAAAAGCACGCCCTGACACGAGGTGAAGTCAAACTGCACAGATTGACAGAGAGAGAGAGAGAGAGAGAGAGATGCTTACTGAGAGCTCACACGTTGCACTGAGACACACACAATCCAGCCCCTGAACTGAAAGATCACTCAGTCTACCAATTGTATAAACCTAGGCACTGTCATCCCCTTCCCAAGCACCCTGTTAATTAATTTAGCCAATCACTTGATTAAATGATTAATGGATGCTTAATTATGTGATAGTTCCTGAAGGTAAAGACCATTTCAATCAGTAAAGATCATGTGAACAGTAAAGGAATTGAATTGCTAGTCTATACAACTAACTGTAATGCTACACTATGTAACAATCGTAAAAAACAGACAATACACTACCCCTTGGGGCTTATCAAGTCCAGCCTTCCAGGGGAACAGTCCAGTGGTCATTGTAGGTCTCCTTAAAACATCAACATCTCAATACTTCAAGAAGAGGGACTAACGAGCTCAGTTAATGCTTAATTAAGTACCAGACCCGTTTAACCTTCTAGAGCAGGTCTCTTGCAGCTGATGGTTGAAGACGGTGGTGCACAACTCCAGTCCAGCAGGGTTGCAGTCTCTGCAGGCTTTTTCTGCAATTAATGACTCAATTCAGCTGACCGTTAGCTTGATTTCACCACTTTAACCCTTTTCAAAGGTCTCCAGCTGTTGATTCTTTGAAAATACCTATAAAACTTGAGGGACCTACAAAAACTGGCTCTTAAGAACTGGAGTTAAGGAGCCCGACAACACCTGCTGGACTGTGAAATTGCAGAAACAGATGCAGAGTGTTTGAATATGTGAGATCAAACGCACATATATACTGTAAATACACACAGTCTGGTTGAGCAGCAATCCCTGTGATGCCTCCTATTTCTCACCTTGGTCTGGAAGCTGAAGATGGTTACAGACAGACAGACCAGGGCAGTGATACCCAGGCACAGTATCACCGATTTGGTGTTGTAGTAGCTGTAGAGACAGATAAAAGTGAGACAGCAGTCAGAAACAGCACACAGCACGCTTACTTATGTATCTGCTGTAAGAGCAGGTGGAAACAGGAAGAAGATTTTTGTCTGGACTACATTCCCCAGAAGGCAATGGGGGAATAACCTGCCATCTTCAGTCACCTCACCATGGGGTGGAAGACCCCGTGGGTGGCATTCAAAAACCAGGAAGCAGAAACTTCCAGTTGCCCATCAAAGTCTGCTGTCTAGGAGAAGGGCAGAACGTCTTATGCCAGCATCACACTACACGACTGTTCCTAGGATTTCCAGTCCTAGCCTTCATTTTCATAATCGTAAGAAAATCACAGCGAGTTGTAGAGAGTCACAGCGCGCGCCCGTTACCGTCAGTAGGGTGACACCCCCAGTGACTTAACAGCCCCTAAGACTCTCTGCGACTCGCTACAAGAAAATTAAACTGGTTTCCTGGCGCAAGTCGTAAGGGTGGGCTCTTGTGTCGGCGACAGTCAACCGGAAGTACAATGCAAACAGTGCAGCTGCAGGGAAAGAAGGAGAGCGAGTGTTCTAGACTGTGAACATGGAGGAGAGGCTCGTCGAACTTTGTAGGCAGCACAGATGTCTGTTCAATGTTTCGTGTTTGTTGTTTTGTGTTTGTTGTTTTTGCTTACTTTCGTGCTCCACGTTGATTGGCTGCCAAAACGAGGCGACCTCGCGGTACTTTCACAGCGCAATGCGAGGTTTGGTACCGTGGTGGAAAGTCTTGAGGGAATCGTGTAATTAGTCACCCCCTGCGATTACTAGTCGTATAATTTGACACCCTCTAGGACAGAAAAGGCAGCGAGATTCAGGAACGGCAGTCGTCAAATTTGATATGCTCTCCGATTAGAAGTCGTGTTGAGTCATGTAGTGTGACGCTCGCTTTAGAGAAAATGCTTCAGAGGGGGAAGGGACAAGTGACAGACAAGCACATGAATTGTTCAGAGTTTTAGAAGAAAGTTTTGTGAATCAGACTTGGTTTGGAGCTGGTAAACAGCTGAGCTGCCCGGCTGTATTAGCAGACCATCGATGTAGAAGTAGAGCTTGGACAGAGCTATGCTTTATTTTGGAGCTTTTTCTCCCTCCCTGAAAATAAAAAGCCCATTTGGTTTCTTCCTTTATGGCTGCGTTTATGTGTTTGTTTCCCTACAACCCCCCTATTAAAATTTTCCCATCTTGGCCGCCCCTGTCCCCCAGGTCTCCCACATTATCTACTTGTGACATAATGATGCAGAAAGGCTAAAATCCCCTGCAATAGGCAGCATTTGGGCTGTTTAACCTTCATCCCATGTGAGATCCTTTATTGACTTAGCCAAATGAGGAGTCCCATGGAGCATCATCTGTAACACAGCCAGGCAGAACAGCAGCAATCAGCTGTACAGATGTGCGCTGTGGTCTCCACAGCTAGGCTCCCATGGTTCCTGGTGCCCAATGCAAGAGGCAGACGTTACCTGGACACGAAGGCCATCATGCTGGCCATGCTGAGAGTCTGAGGCAGAGCGAGAGCATGCAAACAGAACACAGAGAAACACAGGACAGTGAGAACAAGGCTAACGCTCAAGATGGAAGGCACTCTACCTGGACAGCATCCCTGTCATATAGGAGAGAGACAGGGTCTGGAACAGGAGGGGAGACACGTTAGTCAGCAAGAGCAATGAAGTCCCAGTCAAACAATTAATCCCAACCCTAGCCCTCCCTCAGTGCACAACACTGTAAAGACTGGGCAGTGCACACTCACTCACATACTGTCCCTTAATACACAAGCTGCACCTACTGTCTATTAACTGACACAACTACTGAACCCCCCTCTCTTGCTAAGACTAAATAAAATAACAAGGATCACTCAGAACAAACACTTCCAATTTCACATCCAAATGCATTTCACAGGAGGTCAGAGTTGAGCTCATTATTACGCGCCATAGTTTTAAGCAACAGCTCATGATATTCCTGGAAACCCAAATGTGGGGGTTCTCTGAACTCTAACTATAGTAAGATTTACCTACTTAATTTAAATCATTAACTGTAACTGTAATTACAATTTATACTGTAGATTGATTATACAAACCATTTATTAATACCTTAATATTAGGTATTCTAATTGCCATGTAAGCTCTGTGAGATTTGAAGTGATTCATGCCTACCCAGAAAAAGGGTTTATCTCACTGGTTGGATTTAAAAATGCACTGTGTCTTGTCTAATGTGAAATGACATCTAACTTGCAATTGCATGCACACTGATGATTCTCAAGACAGCATTCTTTATGTGACTCTGGAGAGTGTGCTCCTATGACTGGGTATCTTCTCAGTGCTGTCAGCCAGTCAGTCATCTCTCCCACAGCTCATCAGTGGAATTCAAACACAGGGATTGTGGGTTTAAAGAAGAAGAGGTCACAAATGGATCACAAAAAAACAGTTTTTTTAAAACTGTGATTGTTTGCCACACAGTTATTATTAGTAGTAGTACTATTAGTAGTACTAATACTATCGGTAATACTAATAGTAGTAGTATTACATTCTGCACTCCAAATTTTACCAGTGTTACACTTTTCTCATATACTACAGCTTTAATACAAATTGACAAAATGTTACATTGCTAAAATAATACGTCTTTTTTTTTTCCAGGAGCCCTGGAATGAGCACATGGTGATCGGCTTAAATTGCAATATGTCGTTACTGGTAGGTAGTCCCACAGCAGTTAACAACTCCAGATCAGGCCTGGTCACAGGTCTGTATGATACTAGGCAGCAGCTATGACATCATATGAAGTATGACATCATGTTGTCCTAGCAGTGCTCCTGCTGCAGTTCAGCTCTTGGTTTTTCTGTTGTCAATAATGCAGGAGGCTGAGGTTTCTGTAGAACAGAGAATAAGCTCAGAGCCCCAGTCATTAGGACACCTAATCCTCAACGTGCTGACACTACTCTGCCCTCAATCTGTCTCTCCCCGTGGCCCGCACAGTCCTGAGGACCCTCTCGTCTTTAAAATACCCTCCTAATGTACCAGAGTGCACACATAATGCACAGGTGCGTTTTTTGTACGTGTCTCAAACTGTCTGGTGTTCCAATTAAAAATAATAATAATAATAATTGCTTACACTTATATAGTGCTTTTCTGGACACCCCACTCAAAGCCACTCAATTTCACTTCAAATCCCATAAAAAGTTTTTATGGTACTGCTTTTTTATGATACTGCTCTTTTTTCTTTTTATATTCAAAACAACTGTTTCAAAACAAGTTTTCTTCCACTGCCGCCCAGTCCAAACATATTTATTACACCAGAGGGCAAATGACTTTGCCTTTTTAATGTGGTATATAAACAAAGTGCTTGTTAAACTATTCCAATGTGTCACCATTCAAGTACATTCAACACTTAATCATTCTCAGGATCTTACAGCGTTCCAGTGAATGAACTCCTTCATCATACAAAGTGACAGTTTTCATGTCTTTGTACATACAGAAAATTTCTGCACTGAAATATGCAGCTACCATTCACTACCAAGAGAGATTAGCAGTGTAATATTACCAGTCACATGGTCTAGTTATACAGCCTGTATTTATATACCAATCAGAGCACAGTGTATTTATACACTCTGTATTAACACAGATTACTGCAAAGCAGAAATAGCTTTAATGTGACAGGAAGCCACAGTGGGAGAAGATTGTGGCACAGATGTCAGGACTGAGTGCCTTATACTCACAAAGACAGCCAGCAGGATCAGATTCCAGGGAAACTGTCTCCTGTAATAGAAGAAGAGAAGAACACAGGCCAGGTCAGACATACCAGCCCCTCGTGCAAAGGACTGCACACACCAACATATTCAAAACCCACCTGCAAGGCACCAATCCTGGCAGGTAGTGCCTGCAGGGTGCCAATCAAGATTCAACCTGCCTGCAAGGCACCAATGATGATTCTCGTGCAACCGTGACCTCTCGTGCACAGCAAACCAACATATTCAAAACCCACCTGCAGGGCACCAATCCTGACATGACCCACCTGTGGGTCAATCCTGACACTACCCACCAGCAGGGTGTCAATCCTGAAACTACCTGCCTGCGAGATGTCAATCCTGACTTTACCCACCAGCAGGGTGTCAATCCTGACACTACCCACCTGCGGAGTGCCAGTCCTGACACTATCCACCAGCAGGATGCCAATCCTGACACTACCTGTCTGCAGGGTGCCATTCGTGACACTACCTGCTTGCAGGGTGCCAATCCAGATATTACCTGCCTGTGAGGCCCCAATCATGACACTACCCACCTGTGGGGTGCTGATCCTGATATTACCCACCCACAGGGTGCAGTAGTATGAACTGAATTAAGGGAGGACATCAGGAAGACTAGACTGAGTGACTTCTGTTGTAAGAAAAATACGCACCTGGGTCCCGGGCAGCAAGACAGGGTCAGGTAGGTGACAAGGAACACTGCGCTGTTAACAAACAAAACAGGTTAATGTTATCAATGAATATTAGCAATAATGATGATGCAATGTAAATAAAAACAACAAAATCTGCATGCACTTACTAGGAAGCCCAGTACCAGCCGGGGTTGGACTGAATATAGATCCTCACTGGCTCACTGTGGGACAGACAGGACATGTCAGATACACTATTGAATTAAAAATACACACTGTGTACAATGGCAACACTGTTTTGGAATAAGCTGTTATCAAGGTAGATGGATATACTGCAAACTCACGGGACAGACAGGACATGTCAGATACACTATTGAATTAAAAATACACACTGTGTACAATGGCAACACTGTTTTGGAATAAGCTGTTATCAAGGTAGATGGATATACTGCAAACTCACGGGACAGACAGGACATGTCAGATACACTATTGAATTAAAAATACACACTGTGTACAATGGCAACACTGTTTTGGAATAAGCTGTTATCAAGGTAGATGGATATACTGCAAACTCACTAGGCTACACAGACACTGCACATATTGTGGTATGTAAGCACGGTGTACTCTTACAGACACAGGCATTTGGAAATACTTCTCTTACTCAGAGATTCACACATCAAGCACACAATACTGGATCAGGGCTACAGTCCAATCCAGTCCACTGCAGGTTTGTGTTTCAGCCAGCCCCTAGACGCATTGATCCCCGTAGTAAGTGTCAATGAAATAACCGCAGGGCTTTGTCGGAGCAAAGCTCTGCTGTGACCTGGACTGGAAGGGCCTCTAGTTCCATATCTGTCCCTGTGCCTGAAGCGCACCGTCACCTGCCGAGACACCCACCAGAAGGTGAAGAGGGCGACGATGGCCACGGTGATCAGCAGCTGGATCATCAGGATCGTGTAGACCTGCAGCACAGAGCACAGCTGTCACGCACATCTGGAGCAGGAGCACGCCGTCACGCCAATCCACAGAGAGTGCCCTCCCATACCACCCAGTGCTACAGCTCTCCCCCAAGTGGGTTTTAACCCCCGGTCTCCCCAAAACCTGACCCCGGGGGTGTGCGTTAACAACCGCAGACTGGGACCTCAGCCTAACCCCCCCAACCCCACTGAATCGGATCTCCAGGCCAGAATAACTCAAGGAATAACTTGAGGGCAAGGCAGCAGAGCAGCTAGGGAGCGGACAGGGACACTAGGAGAGCCAGGGAGAGTGGCGAAGACCCAGAAGGGGAGGAATTGTGTGCAGGATAAAGGAAATAGGCCATGTGGAGGCAGGCAGGCAGGGGACTCCCGTCACGCTGCCCCGTACCTTCCGGATGAAAATGCGGCGGATGTTCTTGTCGTCCCAGCTGAACTCAGTGAGCATCTCGCCGTCACCATGGTAACCGCCGCTGCTGTAGCTAGGGCTGGAGTCTGAGAAGGACAGAGAGAGGGTTGAGACCAGAGTCCGACCAATCAGCAGAGAGAGGGAGAGATGAGGGGAGGGTCACAACACTCACTGGGATCCACGTAAGCCCAGCTGGGGTGCAGGGGGACGCTGGGAGGGGGTGGGGGCGACACCCCGGTCTTGTTGTCTCCTGCTGTTGCCTCCTCATAGCTGGGTGGGGCTGTGGGCACAGCCCCTCCTCCCTCTGTCCCATTGGCTGGCTTGTTTGTCACCGAGATCTGGACAACCAAACGGGAGACATGTCATGAGCCAATCACAAGCCTGTCTCTCGACCAATCACACTTCCAGAAGGGGGCCCACCCCTGTCCAGGGTGCATCCTGCCTTGCCCCCGCTGCTTACTGGGATAGGCTCTGGCTCCCCCACAGCCCTGAATTGGATAAAGTGGTTATAAAATGGACTGCCGGAGAAATAAGGAGACTGATCAAGGAGGTGAAGGAGACAGTGAGTGAGATCATTTCTCTCTAGCTAGGACCTAAGGCTTTTCAGCGAGCCCTGGTGCTGGCAGAGTCACCCTCCAAACCTGATCTCTGTGGAAAATCCGCAGCCTTAAGAAACAGCACAGACTGAACATTGTGAATGATACAGAATGAGAAAAAAAACTAAAGAAATTCAACCCCAAAAGTGTTGGTGACCACTCATACTTATTATTGTGGTAGTAAGTTCATAAGGAAGTAGTTCAGGTGGGTAGCTGCGTCAGCATGCCTAGGCTGCAAAGGAACAAAAAGAAGAAAGGAAACACAACGTTTTGGCTGTGGAGCCTTCTTCAGGTGCTCCGCTGCCGAAACGTCATGTTTTGTTTCTTCTCTTTTCATCATGGAATAAACCTATTACTAGTTCATAAGGAACGTTTACCCAGGTTAATTCTTATAAGTATTTTGAAAAAAAGACTATGTACAGCAACCTGAGCTGGACTTTTCAGGCTCAGAGTTCAGCAACATTTGTATTTTTCATGAAGGCTAAGAGTGTTTGAACTTGAAAAGGAAATAATGTTCCTCTTTTTCCATCCTGTCATTGAGACTGTTATTGGATATGGTATAACAGTGATGTCTGGTAATTTATCAGTTCGGTTCAGATATAAAAATCACCCGTCTTGTCCAGACAGCAGTGAAGGTTATGGGAGTGAAGCAGCACTCCTTGCAGACAGCTTTTGAACAACCCACGATGAGACAGAAAAAAATATCACACCCTCTTCATATTCTTAATTCTGAGTGTCATCTGCTTTGTTTTAGTGTTTTAGGGTTCCCAAATCTAGTTCAAATAGATACAAATATTGATTTATTCCCTTATCTTTTAAAGTATTAATACAAATAAATGACAAAGGTAAATTCTGTCAGTAAAAACCGATTATGCTGTAACAAACTCAATGTGCAACATGTCATGACTATATTGTAACGAGTTCTGCACGTGCAACAGATGTGATGAATATTTTGTGATGTATTCAGATGTACAGAAGAATTGTGCATCCATAAAAAAAAATCCCCTAGGGGGCAATAAAGATTAACAGGCTTCAGGGCCTGTGCTCCTAGACACAGAGCAACAAAAAAGTGGAGAAGTGTTCAGACTGTCAGAGCCTGTCTCCCTGAGCCTCAGATGGAGCTACAAGCAGGCAGAATGAAACCAGTGAGCCCCTTCTTCATTCTGGATTTTCTGGGGTTCCTCAAACACACATCCCTGCCTGGGCTGAGTTCCTGGCATGCCTTAATTGGCAGGGGCTCTTATGTAACACAGCAGCACATCCATCTGGCTAATCTGTCCGTAAACAATGGCTTGCCCCCCAGCCTCTCCTCTCTTTTCCATAATTCCATGGGCTGCTTCTTGCTCTATTTCTGCCGGATTCTTCCAGATGTTGAAGTCAGCAGTTCTAGAAGGGGGTGGGGACTGGCAAGAGTCTGGGCTTTTCATTCTTTTAGCATCTTTTTAAAATTATTATCAGCCACAGGCAAGAGTCAATGCCCTTTTTTGTTGCTCTGGTGCTCCTAACTAATTCCGTTCAGTTCATTCCCTCAGGGATGGTTCCAGCTGGGAGTTATTAAAGGATATTTCTGGCCGCCGCTGCATGAGGCCTTCCTGGTCTTTTGTGATTACATGGGAACAGGCCACACCTGTCAGCTGTCCCTAATGTTCCAGGAGTGTCCCTCAACTTGGACGTCTACCTGGATTTTTCCCTTTTCCTCCTCTAGTCAAAATTGCTGCTATTTATTTTATGAACAGGCATGGCCCCACCACATCAAAAGCAAAAACAGACTGCACGCTACTGACCTTTCAACTTATCAAGCACACTTTTGTTGTCCAGGTTCAGAGCTCCGACATTTTTGTCACAGATTGGGGTGCATTTCCTGCAGCAGAATTGTTGGAGGAGAAAAGCTGGAGATTGTTATCTCAACCACATTCCCCAGAAGGCATGTCCTGCCTCCCTCGGTCACCTGACCAGTCAGAGGAACATGATTGGTCAGGTAATGATTTGAAAACCATGAAACCGAGGCCTCTGGGATTGCACACCTGCCCATACGCGAAATACGAGGTGGGACATGATTTTCATTAAAGGCAAAGATTAGCTGCCCGGTTTTGAGGGACCGAAGAAGTGTTCTTAAGGGAGGTAGGCTTTTCTTGCATTTTCCCTGTTGTGTTTCAAAATAATATGCTCTGTGCCTAGGCATGAGCACCCCTGCTCACTGGGTGAACATCTATACGTTAGAGGAGAGTTCAGCTGCTGTGGTCAGGGCCCCAGAGGACCCCAGTGCTTCTTAACAGGTTAATGGTATTAAGTTCTTACTTCAGCTCATCTTTTAAGTCTTTGATCCAACCTCTTTCTTTAAGGCCTTTTGTTTTCCTGTTTCTAGATCTTTCTGCTCTGGGGCTGAACCAATCACCCCACAGTATCAGGAGAGGAACGAGAGCCTTCCAGAGAGCAGAGGCAGGGGAGGGGCCTGGGATCTCTGCTGGGGGATTAGATTTGGCAGAAATTCCCAAATCGCCCGTTACACCACAAAGCCACCCCTAAGCTGCACCAGTTCTCAGATGGCGAGCTGGTATGTTCAGCAGAATGTACTCAGGCGTGGAGCCGCAGTGTGGGCACAATGTTCCAGGGCCAATCAAGTATATTATCAGTCCAGCATGCACTGTGATTTCAGATGCACAGTGGCGCGCACGCCTCCGCAGTCCACCGAACATTCCCAGCTTCTCTTCCTGCTCTTAATCAGCGTGATCCGTCAAGGTAACGAGCTCATCCTTCAATGATCGGAGTGTTATTGACCTGCCCCTGGCTCCAATAATGTAAGGGCTTGTACCTGCCCGAGACACAGGCACACCAGAAATTGGTCAGCTCTAGATGATATAGTTCAGGTGGGTAGCTGCGTCAGCATGCGCAGTCTGCAAAGGAACAAGTAATAGGTTTATTCAGTGCTGAAAAGAAAAGAGAGAAAACACAAAGTTTCAGAAGGCTTCACAGCCGAAACGTTGTGTTTTCTCTCTTCTAGATGATATAGCTGTCAAACGTCCCCTTAACAGTCCTCAGCTCTTGAAGAGCTGTACACAACAGTCCTCTTATTGTACAGCACGTGGCTTTGGATAATCAGCCAAATGAATACGTTTAATGTCCCAGAGCAGTTACCAGACTATAACTATAGCAGGCAGCCATGCTAACACAGCAGGCAGAAACAAGGAAATCGTAAGTGTAAACACACAGGCTGATTAATTTAGAATTAGAGCTGTGCTCTGTGCTGGAGACCATGATACACCCCAGAGCACAGGAAAGCTGTGAATTCACCTTTCACAGGGATTGTCCATTCACTTCCTACATCTCTTACTAGGGACCTCACAGGACCAGAGACGCCTGGAGAGCCACAAGGAAGGCAATCAGCTAATTCCAAGTTGTTAATTGAATTTATTTCTGTGAATAGCTAATGCGTGAATTTTTCAGCATGTATTTTCAGGAAGCACACTTCACCTTAAACCAGAATTCGCGCTTTATCAAACAGCGCACAGGTAGAGGGCAGTTAAATGCCAAAAAAACTTTCAGCTGTCTGCCGAGCCCTTGCACGACGCACAGAAAAACCAACCGGAAGCGAAAAGATTGCTGCAGGCGAGATGAGGCTGTTGGACGGACGAGACCCGAGCCAAACTGACCAGCGTCGCCTGACAGCTGCGTTCTCATTACAAAACACAACACAGGACAAGCACAGAGCCAAGACCAGCCGGCCTTCTGTCCCTTGTGTCAGAATTATGGGATTTTTGAGTTTTTCATTATGCAACCCAGTTGGTTCACAGCACGTTGAAGAGAGCATCATATGTTCAAAAGTAAACACCTAAGACCCCAAGCCCAATGTGTAATTACTGCTGGCCTGTGAACCAACTTGTCGTCTGTACTGTGCGCCAGGCACAGGAGACATCACTCTTCCCATCAGCCTCGGTGACGTGGCTCAGGAGGAAACCTGCACCACCCCAACCAACCAGCGGAAGAAACTCGCGCAATCAACCCCTGGGATCGGAGATGTGGCAGCTCCCGCGGTCTCCTGCCTCTGGTCCTGCTGGGGCTCCCATCTCCGAGGGGACTCCCCTCCAGCTCTGCACAGCCGGAGCTCCAGAGAGCAGGAGAAAGACACACACACACAGACACACACACACAAACGGTGGAGCAGTTCGCTACAGAGCCCAGTCCAGCTTTGAAAAAGAACCCGCAACGTCCCCTCTTTCAGGAGCGACTTTCAACAAAATGATGATTGCTTTTTCAAAAGCTACATGAAATATGCCCGTGCTGACCAGAGACGGAGGAGGGGGACTGTGGGAGCACACACTGCAGAGAATTGCAAGATTTGTTTTAATGCTCCATGAAATAACAACTGCAAGCACGAATGGATACAATACCAGCATCTGAAAAAAAGGCCCCCACAACATACACCCAGGCATGCCGCTGTCTGTATTCCATCTCTTCCAGTCCGGCAAAGGGACATAAGAGCAGGGACTCAGTCACCCTGCACAGTGACCGCCTCCCACCGAGGGGAGAGGCGGGAGAGGCACGAGAGCAGGCTGCGCGATCAGAGACACAGCTGAGTTACCACGTCCTGTAGCTGCTTGTGGCGAGGGAGAGGGGGGGCTTTTCAGTTCAGCTTGGAAAGCTCTGGAGCCAGTTACTGGAGACACTGTTATTGTACCAACGTCTGTGCTTGCTGGTATAACTTAACGTAGCAGTAAAACAAATCTTGCAGTCTCTGGAGTGTTTCCTCCTACAGTCGCTCCTCCTCCATCTCTGATCAGCACGTGCTGTAGCAGCACATGAGCAGGAGAGCTCTGGGCTCTGCGCAGAGGACAGACAGACATGAACTTGAACGGTTAACTCCTGCAGCCTGAAACCTGGTTTCTTCAGCCGTCTAAACAGCCCCTCTGTGCATGAACACAGCTAAACTAACATCTTCAAAAACATAGTGTCGCCGTGAAGGGGCTCCTCAGAGGCGGCACAATTAACAGTCCGATAACTTGGGGCGATGAAAATTTCCCACAGTACCACCAGCCCCCCTCCCCCCCCATGCACACGCACCAACCAGCTCCCCGTTGTCTTAACAAGCACCCCCAAAAGAGGAGAGGGGGGGCACTCTTCCATGAACACAAGAAAACTGCAGCTGCACACCATAAGCAGACCTGTCCCAGCACCCAGAGAGGGAGGGGGGAGGGATCCAACATGCAAGTTACATCATAATAAAAGCCATGTTCAGTAATCCCAAGGGGCACTCCCGACACATCCTCCATTCATTACTCTAATTGAATGGCGGTGCGGTGGCTCTGTGGCTCAGGATCTGCCCCTGTGGCTGGAAGGTTGCCGGTTCGTATCCCCACGGCCGGCAGAGGAATCCTACTCCGTTGGGCCCCTGAGCGAGGCCCTTCACCCCAACTACTCCAGGGGCGCTGTATAAATTGCTGACCCTGCGCTCTGACCCCAGGCTTCTCCCCCTGTCTGTGTGTCTGTGTCCCATGGAGAGCAAGCTGGGGTATGTGAAAAAGACAAATTCCTAATGCGAGAAATTGTATATGGCCGACAAAGTGATCTTATCTTAATTGGCAATTATCCAGAGGGCACAGCTGAAGCAGATGAAACCCCCTTCCCAGCCTGTTTTCCCACCCTTGCCTGAAAACTGATTGATGCTGCAGTCGGTCCTGCTGAAATCCACACCAGGCTGTTATTACCGCATCCCAGTGCCAGCACTCCTTACCTTCCCCTGGGTCATGGTCACAGTGCCTGCGTGCCTGCCTGTCTCCTCTGCGGCTTCTCAGCGGTGTTTACTTCCAAGAGGGTGATTAAGCCTCTTCTTGTGCTCCCTCTCCTCCTGTCCTCGGACCCGGGCGAACGGGCAGCGACGCAAGAACCGGAGAGAAACTGCGTCTTGCGGAGAGATCTGGCTCGTCGGGCTTGCAAACGTGCTGCTGCTGTTGTTGCGGAGATTAAAGTGACCCTGTAATACAGCGCTAACAGGCTAATCCAACGCCAGCGAGTCTCGTTCTCTCTCTCTTCCCCCCTCCCCTGTGCTAAAAAGGACATTCTAGCAACATCCAGGTAGAGCAGCAGCACTGATGCGAGGCTGGGATGTACCATTCCAGGCAGCAGCACAGGGGGGTAGGAGGGGGGGGGGGATTTTGTTTGTGTGTCAGTGTGTGACTTCAGTGATGCAACTAGGTCCCAGAGAGATCTAGATTCAATGCTCTGCAGCTAGGGAGAGAGGATGCAGAGAAGAGGAAGAGAGGGATCGTTTTCAGAGCCTTTCAGTCTTGTTGCCACTGCGTTTCTCTCCCATTTATGTAACATTTATGTAACAGCACGCAGCAGCACCGTGCTCACAGCAGCCTCTCTGCCTGGACCCCCAGTGTGCAGGGAGAGGGCAGAGAGCAGACGATCTGAGAGAGAGAGGACAGGGAGGGAGCGGAGAAAGAATGACAGATGAACGAGAGACACCAACAGGGAGGCAAGAAGAGACAGCAGAGACAGAAAGGGACCGAGGGACAGAGTAGGATGTAAGGAGAGCCAGAAAAGGAGCAGAGCAGTCAACACAGGAGAGAACACATTGACTAAAGTCAATGTCTGAATCAATGCCCAGCAAGGAGGGAGACGTCACAGAGAGCTCGCACTAAAGTGAAACGTCGATGAGAAATCACGCCAACAGTCCCACGGAACCCACTTCTTTTTTCAACCACGGAACATGGGTTTCCACAGATACACTGTTTTGCAAACGCAGAGCACTCTCTTTGGAGATCTCACCCTTGGACTTTAGCTGGCCTAGTTTTGCACAGACCCTGGTACCTATACAACCTCTCACTGAGCCACAAAGGAGTAAAAGTTTCTTGTGACAGGGTGGGTTTCTAAGTTGGTTTTGTAACTGATCAAGAGAGGGGTTGTAATAGGGCTTATCCCCAGATAACAAATACGAGCCTCTTAACTGCAAGTCTCCATCTGTCTGTCTGATTCTGTGCTTATATAACCCTCATATGAAAACAGAACAGCACAGGCCATAGCATTGATCTCTCAACCAGGAGCACCAGAGCCAGATAAACACAGAGGAAGGTTCTACAGAAGGAGAAAGCGAACTCTGCAGCTAGCAGAGTTAGCACCTTCTAGTGGTGATGAGCTGCAACATTCTCTCCAGAATTTAAGGGTTACATTCGGAAGCTATAGCTCACCACTGGCAGTCCACTGAAGAGAAGCAGGTCTGGCCTGTTGATGGGTGGTGAGCATACAGGTGCACTGTGACTATGGTTGCATCATCTAACTGGGGAAACAGATGGGTGGTGGTAGTGGAGGGGGGTCCTCATTACCTGTAAAAAGGGCTTTGAGTGGAATGTCCAGAAAAGCACCATGTAAGTGTAATGCCATTATTAATTATTATTGAAACCCTTCGAGACATTTCTCGAGAGATCCTGAGAACCCGTCTCCTCAACACATCAGGGCAGTTTGTTCCACACACCTGCCACCCTTTGTGTAAAGAAGCAATGTCTGTCAGCCCTGAATGAGTCCTGTGGGATGATATTGTCAGTAACCTGTCAAGACCTTAAAGACCTGAGTCAGGACCTCCTGCCAGTGGTCCCTTCATTCCAAGACTAAAAGTATTCAGTTCCTTTAAACGGTCTGGATCAGACACTCCTTCAAGGTGAGGAATTAAGCTCACTGCCCCTATAGGAAATGATCCTAAAGCACCAGAGTCCTGGAATCAGTCTGCAGCTGTGTTTCACCAGGGTGTGTTGTGACCTCTCTCAGGTTTAAAAGCAGAACAGCTCAAGAGAGACCCCCCCACACTGAACAGGACCCACAGGAAGAGAGGGGAACTGATGAACACTACACCATCTAATCTAGTTCCCACTGAAACATATGCATTCATTATTCACTATATCTAAATCGCAAGGTCCTGACTGGATCAATCTAACCATAATCTGTTGAACATCCCAAGAGCCCAATAGAACTAAGTGGACTGTAGCCCCATAACCTGAACAACCTGCAGGGTTGTGGTAACTTTGAGACCAGGATTAGGAAAAACAGGGGAAGAGTCGGAATGTTGTTTCAGGAACTGGAGTCTGACAGAGGTGATCGATGCTCTGAACTGAAAAACTGAAGCAGGCCTCTGGATTCACTGCTCACCCCTGTCAGAAAGAGAGCTGGAAGCACAAACAATAAGCTCCACCTTACAGACGCAGAGAGCACAACAGAGGTTAACAAAGCACACAGGCTCCCAAAGGCCAAAACTGCTTTTATTTCGAAGAAATGATTTTTGGTTTGACTACCAGCAAGGTCTCCCTTGACCACACAGCACATAGTCCTCCATTAACTCCTTCCAGCCAAATCCCGGCCCATTATCTTTTAATAGTCCCCCCCCCCCGCTTCCAGGGCACAGCTGAACCCGTTTACAAAAGGGTCTCCTGGAAGAGAAGGAGTCAGACGTGACGAGGGAAGGTTTATTACTCGTTCCCTCGGAGAAGCCCAGGTGGGGGTCGCGTGCTGACCGCCGGCGCGTGTCGCAGTCCGTGTGCGGGACCACGTCACGCGCGCTGCAGAACCACCGCTACCCCGAACACACGCGACCAGGCGTGCTCCACTGGCGCGCAGAAGCGCCAAGCATCCACACACCTCGCACTTTCCCAGGAGCCAACAGCTCTGGCACTCGGGAGAGGCGTCTGCTGCAGGCCTGGGGGGGGGCTCTTGAGTTCGCACGTCTCTGCTTAAAGCCAACCGATGCTGCCTTTGTCGCTGCGCCAATCTGCAAACCGCAGAGTCCTGTACAAAAGGAACTTGTCTCTAGGCAGCCTTGGTGCTCAGCAGTTTATTTCGGCCTTGGCGAGTTTCCGAAAAACCCTGCTGGCGACGGGCAGCGCCGCACCCCTGCATGGGCCCTGCTGTCCTTGTATCGCAGACTATACATTCAGACTCTGTCTCCGCTCGCCTCCGCCCGTCTCAGAGCTCCCCTTCCCCCCGGCCCCCTTCAGCGGGTCCCCCGCCCTCCAGGCGGAGCTGGGCATCCTGCCGGCCCAGGGTGAAGAGGCTCACCCCGGCCAGCAGGGCGGCGAGCATCATGCCCGCGCAGCCTGCGAACATGTGGCGCGTGCCGCCGCCCGCCTCGCCCTCCCCGCCGGGCGCCGACACCTCCCCGTGCAGCGCCAGCAGGCCCAGGCAGGCCAGGAGGTGCAGGGGCAGCCGGAACCAGGCCAGCACCCCCGCCCGCCGCTCCTCGGGGATGACCCGCCCCTGCAGGAAGCCCACGGCCGGGAAGTAGAGGCCGCAGGCCAGCTCCAGCAGCAGGAAGGCCAGGAAGGACTCGCGGGGCCGGGCCTGCCCGGGGGCGGTGGAGAAGGTCAGCATGAAGAGGGCGAAGAAGGCGGTCAGGACCGCCAGGCACAGCAGGTGCACGGGCTGCAGCCGGTAGCGGGCCGAGGTAGCCAGGCGGTACAGGGAGGAGCCGGCCATGCTGGCGGCCATGAAGCAGGAGAAGACGATGCCCAGGGGGGGGCCGTGGGGGTCCAGGACGGGCGTCCAGAGGAAGACGAAGATGTAGAGCACGCTCTCGAAGGCCGCCTGCACCCCGCCCAGCAGCAGCACGCGCCGGTCCGCCAGCAGGCAGCGCAGCCCCTCCAGGCAGCCCCGCCAGAACCGGGCCCGGCCAGGCAGGGGAAGCGGAGGTGGAGGAGGAGAGAGGGAGGAGGTCGGGGGCTGCAGAGAGCCCGCCAGCGCCCCCCGGCCCTCGCCCCCCTCCGCCTCCTCCCTGCCCCACTCATGCAGCACCACCCAGCCACACAGGCCCAGAGCGGGCACGGCCGCCAGGAAGGGCGCCACCGGCCCCCAGCCCAGCCACTCCGCCAGCAGGTTGGCCACCAGGCCCGCCGCCACCGCCAGGCCGTGGTTCCAGGTGGCGGCCCGGGAGAAGGTGGCGGGGATCCACTCGCGGGGGAAATCGTGGGCCTCCAGGTGGCGCTGGACGTACCAGGCCTCAAAAGCCGTGGCCAGCAGGGAGGTGGAGAGCCCCCCCAGGACGCGGCCCAGGATCAGTACAAAGTAGTCGCGCGACAGCTTGGTGAGGCAGCAGGCCGCGTAGGCCGCGCAGAACAGCAGGCAGGTGCGGCGGCGGCCCAGCGCCAGGGGGAGCCAGCTGGCCACGGGCGCGAACAGGATGCAGGAGGCCAGCCCGAACACGTACAGGATGGCGATCTGCGACTCCAGGAAGTTGTAGTGGCGGTACAGCTTGTAGAGGTAGGGCCCCTGCAGCCAGTCGGCCCAGAGCGCCAGCAGGTAGCCGCGCAGGAAGAGCGTCTGAAAGCTGCGGAAGACGGGGTTGGCGGCGTGGGCGGCCTGGCGGGGCTGGGCGCGGCAGGCGCTGAGCTCCAGGCCCAGGCAGAGGGCCAGCAGCACCAGGAATGACAGGTAGGCGGTGACCAGCATGGTGCCTCACTGCGGGTCCAGGCCAGACTGCCCTCTCCTCTCCAGCCCAGACTGCCCTCTCCTCTCCAGCCCCGATCCCTCAGACCCTTCAGCAGCAGAGTCTCCTGTCACTCACTCCCAGAGAACCGCTCTCTCGCTCTCAGAGTCTCCGAGCCTCTGGGACAGTTTGGGGTATCTGCTCCGCCGGGCAGTGTGTCCGAGCCTCTGGGACAGTTTGGGGTATCTGCTCCGCCGGGCAGTGTGTCCGAGCCCCTGGGACAGTTTGGGGTATCTGCTCCGCCGGGCAGTGTGTCCGAGCTTCTGGGACAGTTTGGGGTATCTGCTCCGCTGGGCAGTGTGTCCGAGCCTCTGAGACAGTTTGGGGTATCTGCTCCGCTGGGCAGTGTCCGAGCCTCTGGGACAGTTTGGGGTAGCAGCCCTGTGAGGAGAGAGAAAGATCAGCACAGTAGTACCCACAGAGGGAAGCTCTGGACACTCTCCTAAATTAGGTCCCACACAGGGAATGGGGGGTCCATCTGTGGGACACAGCGCAGGGGACAGAAGCACTGGATGGCCACGGCTGTGCAGGCGAGAGCTGGCCGGACCCACAGGACGGCCACTGTCCTGTTTCCAGGGCAGATTCACAAACTGGGGCTGGAGGGACCAAGGATAACAAGAGTATAGTCGCAGACTGGAGCAGGTGCTGGTTGACGCAGACATGGGAATAAACTTTGATTTGGAAGGAAAACTGCACCTCTTGGTGCGGAGAGCACTGCCTGGACAAAAGTATCTGAATGACAGAGCCCCAGGGCTGGGATGAGTTGCGACCCTGGTTTGATCGCTTGTGAGCTGGAGGCAGGTGGCTGAGAGAGCCCGCTGGCGCCGGGCAGAGCGAGGGCTGGTAGCTCTTGCCCCATGGGCAGTTACAACAGGCAGAGCTCTTCAGGAGTCACCCTCCTGGGCAAACAGCAGTTCCAGAGTCCAGTTTTCCTTGTGCTGCAGCACCAACACTTTCACTTAAGAAAACGAGCTACGTTTCCCGGAAGCACAAGACAGATAATGACCAGTTTCCCACCAGTCTGCCTTTAAGCAGCAGTCTTTTAAATTATTTTTAACAACCACTGCACCACTGTGACAAACTTTTAATTATTTCTGATTTTTAGATTTCAAGCACGACTCGTGTCACAGTTGTTCCAGAGGTCACTGCGACAGCCTGGACCACGACAGGACGGGCAGGACGACTTCCCCCCGAGAGGTGGTCAGGAAGGTGGGTCAGCGCCTGGACAGTTAACACACCAAGCGACCAGGATGTTGCAAAGCTGCACGGGCCGCGGGCTCTCCTGCTCGCCTACGCGGTGTTTCCGCTTCCTCGGTACGGCTCCACGTACACCCTACCTGAGCAAGCGAACACTCCGTTGCTTTGACTTTTTTTAAACATTTGTATTAAATGTATAAAGAATTTACAAATACAAATACAACTAGAGGAGCGGAAACTCCATTGCTTTGACTACTTATATTAGCGCCACTACTAACCACGTCACAGGACCCCGCAAAAAAAAAAAGTTTTAAAACTATTTCTGAGACTTACATTGTCTAACATCAATCAAATATGTCCTTATCCTACCTCACCTGCAGAAATGCGATACGTTTGTTAGAATAAAATCAAAACCTTTAACATCCGCTAAGTTATAAAACGATTTAGATTAGTCTCAGCGGAACATGCAATGTGTATATGAACAATGATAAACACGTTGCCATGACTAAATCATAAAACACGTTTGTTTAACTTACCTTCCCTGACCAGCGCTGAGCGCTTTTCAGTGTCAAAAACGTATGATATGATTTTTCGCAGTTAAAATTACTTGTATGTTCAATACAGCCCCGACGTGTTGCTTATTCCTCTTTACAATAATGTAAATACTAACAGAAACGGTGTCCGCATGTAAGACTTGTATTTGCAGGGAAGCTAACCCTGATAAGAAACTGAGGATTTTTATAATTATACATTTGTTTTCAGCCTAAATAATAGAAACTGCTCGTCAAAGGGACACCCTCCTGTCCGTTTTTTGAGATGGGAATCTCATGTTAAGCCTTGTGTTGGTTTATATCAGGCTCAAGCTTTGAGTTCTATGGAGGAGCATACCTGAAGAAGATTTTCCTCTACAGTATGTTTAAAAAGACAAATACTAACGTCAAACGCCTTTCTCCTTGCGTCGCTCCCGAATCCGTCACTTCTCTTCCGCAGGTCTCTACGCCCCGCCCCTCCCTGAAGCCACTGCGGCCAGAACTCGTCATGTGACCCGAGTGCCTTCCAGACTGTGGGACCTCTTACAATAATCGATCTGTGGCAACCTGTCCGTTATTACTCCTGCACTGTTTCATCTGATCTGAATATTAAAATGTATTTGCAGAGCATACGCTCGTATCCAGTGCCATCGAATCCCAGCGATTTACAGCGCCTTATTTACGTTAAACGTAGTTCGTTTGTCAACTGTAGCAATTACTCTGCCTGAACTGATGACCTGGAATCTGATATCTTGAGGGAATATTGTCTTCGTCAGCTCAATGGATCTTCAGTGAAGCACCAACCAGAGGCCACAAGTGCTTTAAAGACTGAGCACAGTAGAGGCGTCTTTACACTAAAGGGTGTGGGTGTGTGGAACAAGTGAAGCTCATACGAGGTTGAAAACCGGTACATGCGTTCTCCCGCGTTCTTACATGAAACTGATGGAAAAGATCCAATACCTGACAAACAAGTCAAGACAGGCCAGTCGGTCCCCTCTCGTTTCTTTTTAACTTCCCTATGTTCCTATTCGTTTCCATAAATTTTCGGGGGTACAGGCTTAGTTGGGATAGAAGGTGAGGATTATTTTTTTAGGTAAGGATGAAGGCCAGGGTTAATATTATGAACATTAGAATGCAAGAGCAGTTACAAGGAGATGATCTCCTCCAGCCGTTTCTTGAAAAAAGCCAGGGTATCTGCCTCATGAATCTGACTGGGTAGCTTGTTCCACACCCCCTCAACCCTCTCCGTAAAGAAAATGTCTCCTGCTCTCGGTTTTAAATGCATTATATGTTAACCTTCGGCCTTGAGAGGGGTTAGGGTACAGTGTTATAGAACGGTTTCGCCGGGGATGTTATGATGTTATGGTTACCCAGGAGTAGCTGGGTAAGGAGTTCAGGCTGAGCTACGGGCAGGCTCAGTGTTCACAGGTAGTAGGACGGGGGTTAAGTTTTGAGTTGCTATTGGAGGCGAAGGGGATAATCGTCACATCAGCGGTTTCGTTGTTCTAGATTTATCGCAACGTCGCCAAACGGTCTTATCCCGCGAAACCGTCCTTTGGCGCTTCAAGGGTAGGGAGGCAGTGCGCTTAATCACCACTAGATGTCGCCCACACACAGGTCTTCATCCAGGCACCCATTTCCTAAACGTTTCTTCCAAGTCAGGGTCGCGGGGCAGCTGGAGCCTATCCGAGCAACGGGTGCACGGCAGGGCACACCTTGGACGGGACACCAGTCCATCACAGGGCACACCTTGGACAGGACACCAGTCCATCACAGTGCATAGAGGCTTTCCCGTTCTGAAAAGATTTTCTATTGCCTGCAGAACCTGAAGTAACGCTAGTTGACACTGAAGCAAAGCGCACGAGTTGTTCGTCTATTCAGTAAAACAATGAAGAACTATTTTGCGTATTTAAGCTCATGTTAGTCTTGCAAGGAAGTAATATTGCTATGTTTTCTCAAAGGCAAATTGTGAGTTAGAGAAAATGACTTCTTCTGCCAAAAGCCCTAAAATAGTAACCCAGCTGAATTACAGTGAAATGGTTGTAAATATGTCATTTTCAGTGCCTAATGTGTTCTTACAGAAATGAAACGTTTGTTCTTCTTCACACAAGGGTTGTAAGGAGCTACAACAGCTGCCCAGCTGTGCTGTCGCTGCAAAACCCCAAAGTTACAAAGGCATGTGCTCTGTATCTGACTGTGTTCCCCTTTAATTACAAACAGGACCTATAACCTATTACCAGTAGAGGTCAAATCTACAGAATGTAGTAGTTCAGGTTTGCAGCTGCGTCAGCATGCGTAGGCTGCAAAGGAACAAGTAATAGGTTGATTCCATGCTGAAAAAAAGAAGACAGAAAACACAACGTTTCGGCCGTGGAGCCTTCTTCAGGTGTGGCTCCACGGCTCCACGTGACACCTGAAGAAGGCCCCACGGCCGAAACGTTGTGTTTTCTTTCTTCTTTTTTCAGCATGGAATCAACCTATTACTTGTTCCTTTGAAATCTACAGAATGTCTCGCTTGAACCTCGGATATATCTGACAGACTCTACCGAAATTTCTAGATGTTATAATTCCCTTTATACTTATATCCCTTCAAATTATGGTACCAATTAACACACCTAGGGTTTGGGTGAAATAGTTTTTTCTGTGGTGAAGAATCCAGACACGTAGCCAGACCTCCACAGCGCTGGCGCCTCGGAAAACTGCAACGCCCCCTATTGCCAGCAGAGGGCGATCTAACCACCGCCATTTTGCCTATATATGAGGGATTCGGTTGCTTGTACCGCAGATCTGCTGTTTTTTACGCGTGCCTTCGGGTTAGTCCACACGTGAAAAAAAAAAACTCACCCTCTTTGACGGCCAGAGTATGCAATGTAAACCCAGCAGTCAGCCAGCAGTCATATCACCCTGCAACTCACAACTGGCGACCCACTGCAGTTCTGCAGGTGTGAGCCTTGTCAGTACCTGGATGGGAGACCTCCTGGGAAAAACAAAGGGCGCTCACCCTGCGGTCTGTGTGGGTCCTAATGCCCCAGTATAGTGACGGGGACACTATACTGTAAACAGGCGCCGTCCTTCGGATGAGATGTAAAACCGAGGTCCTGACTCTCTGTGGTCATTAAAAATCCCAGGGCGTTTCTCGAAAAGAGTAGGGGTGTAACCCCAGTGTCCTGGCCACATTTCCCATTGCCCCTACCAATCATGGCCTCCTAATAATCCCCCTCTATGAACTGGCTACATCACTCTGCTCTCCTCCCCACTGAGAGCTGGTGTGTGGTGAGCGTTCTGGCGCACTATGGCTGCCGTCGCATCATCCAGATGGGGCTGCACACTGGTGGTGGTGGAGGGGATCCCTATTACCTGTAAAGCGCTTTGAGTGGAGTGTCCAGAATAGCGCTATATAAGTGTAAGCAATTATTATTATTATTATTATTATTATTACTACCTAATTGGAGTGGTTAGGGGGGTGTCATTTTAATAAGAGGTGCAGACGGTCGGGCATCCCTTGAGGTTCCCCGAGCACATGGAGCGGGCCAGTGATTCGCGGTTCTCCGCGCTGTGTCTCCCAGGACTCCAGAGCTGGGCCCACTGGTGCACACGGGCCTGTCCGGGGCTTCCCTGTCCTTATTTTCTCCATCCCATGCACCTGGAAATATACTCACCTGTTCCCATCCAACTCACCCACCGAACCGCGGTTCTCTCCCCTCCTCACCCCACATCCCACTGGATCACCCCAGGGAAACACACTGACCAAAGCCGCCGGCCAAACACACCCCTCGGTGCTGGGGCTCCAGCAGCAGGAGACGTCTGCACGGGGATGTCGAATCCCTGTTCCAGCGCCCCTGCTGGAAGAGCAGAGAAGGAGGGAGACCGGGCCACGGGTATTTCACGGGCTTGGAGAGTCCCAGCACCGCACTGAGGTCCCGTGTCTGTGCGGGGGGAGACAGTATATTGGCCGGTGTTTGTGTCTTATACGTGACACCACCCCCTGCGAGGCACTTCTGCTGGCACGATGGGGAATCTTTTCCTTCCAAGTCGCACCACAATCTCTCCATTGATTTTTGAGTGCGAGTGCGTGGGAGAGGAACTTTTACTCCGGTCCACGGCGTTTTTATTTTCAGTGTGGGGCGGGCGGTGACTGTGCAGGCGTTGACAGTCGGAACCCTGAAGGGGTCCTGTTCCCTTTGTCACCGGGCGCAGAAGGCAAAACACCGCCCGTAAAATCCCGTTTTGTTTTTGTTTGTTTGTTTGTTTGTTTGTTTGTTTGTTTGTTTGTTTTTTTGCGACGCTATCTTGCCGGCTCTCACCCGCCTCTGCGAGGGCGCTGAGTGACAGCGCCGCCGCTGCCGGGGTCTTCATCAGAGCCGGGGATGTCGCGCAGGGAGTCCACACTAGCCTTTGCAGTCCGTCTCCGTCTCGGTCTCCGAGCTGGACCGCTGTTCCCACTGAGCGGGCCCCCCTGTGGAACAAGCCGAGCTCACCCGGGCAGCTGCTGCCCCGGCGGCGGGGGGGACTGAACTGTTAATACCGGCTTAATTCGGAGACGCCGAGGTCCCCGTGCCAGGGTCAAATCTCACACGGGCGAGAATTTCAGAGCTGCTGCTGTGGCTCCCCGCATCGCCTGTGCGTGTGCAGCACGTGAGAGCGAAGGCTTATCGCCGCTAATAGAACGAATTAGGACCCTCCTCCAGTTCATAAATTCACAGCCTCTGTTCTCCCTGGGACGGTACGTACAGCTGTTTCCGAGGGATGAATCATCTGTAGATGCGACCTGCCCTTCCCTAGACGGGCGCCTCCAGGTCAGTTCTTTGCACGAAGTCATGAATCTTCCTGGCAGTCTCTGAAGAAGGAGCCAGAGCCAACGTATTTCATCATGTTTCTGCTGCAGATATACACACATCCCAACTTTGAAAAACTGATTTCGGGGGGGTGGAGGTACCCCTTGAAAAAAATCAGGGAGTCAGGGAGGAGAGGCTGATTTCTGGGAGACCTGGGATGTCTGGATATGCCGCCTGTAAAAGGTCAGCACATGAGCAACGATGGAACAGCTTTACCAGAATTCTTACCTCAATGTTGAAAATGAGCCTAGGAAAAATGTCATTTTCAGGGGGAACATACTGTATAAGTGCATCTTGTGTTAAACTTGGACCCCTACCTAGATCATCAGGGAGAAGTGCAAAGGGGTGCCAAGTCTCACTCGAGAGCCAGGGTGCAGGAGCCACCTCTACGCAAAGGGTTGTTGGAGTCTGGAACAGGTCGCACACAGCTATGGTGCCCAAGCTTCTCTGGTGAAATGGATGGATGAGGGCATCTGAACCAACAAGCTGCTAGGCAGCGAAATTCTCAATGGGCAGAATGGCCCTCTGCTGTTTGTAGCTAATGCTATCAGCTTCCTGGGGTTCAGATGGGCGCCGAACCCCAGTGAAAAAAACTCTCCCTACTGGGCAGACTTCACACACGAAGGAATCTGAAGACTGGGAGGAACCCAGGATCCCGGAACTGTGAGATGGCAGCACTATCCCAGCATACAGATACACTGTTCTGAGAGGCATTAATAGTGCAGCTAATCCGTTTTGGAGACAGCAGCACGTGCTGTGTTTTAACACCTGTCGGGACGTGCTCTGTATTTATGTGAAGGTGTTAGATATCTGTCGGTGTGAGTGGGGCACACACGGATGTCTGTGGCTCCACTGTGCGTCCTGCAGTGGCTGGGCGAGCGTTTTCTTACTGGAGCAACGAAAACCTTTCTTCCGCCGCACGACGAGAGGACTCCAGTGCCCACGCAGCCTGAAAACACTGGCCCTGTGGTTTGTGCACATGCACCACAGTGACTCTGCCCAAGATGCACTTGTGCTCCTGTGGTCTTACCGCACTGTCACCCCGATTTCACCGCGCTTTACTCTGCCCCGGCAGGTGAAGAAGGCAACAGGGGGCCGGAGGAGGTGGAGAAAGCAAAAATGACAGCACACGGGTCTGTAACTTTGTCTTTATAATGATCCGATGGAAGAAGGAACCGAAGAAAGAGAAACAAATGTACAAAATATACAGGCAGGCGAGAATATAAGTCTGTTGACAGAATAATGTCCACTCGGGATTTGAGACACCTCCCCTGAGTCCTACAGCCAGCTCATTTTTATATGAGCACCCATCAAGGGTCCAGAATCACAAACTCCAGACACAGGAAGAAGAGTTCCTCAACAGAGTTCCTCAAGGTCCCTTTCTGTGGGGGGAAGGGGTCCCTTCTCTCCTCTTCTTCATGGATCTTAGCTCTTTCCCGTGTTTCCAATCCAGTACTCCCAGTCCAGTTTCTAACGAAGATCGGAGGGGGAGGGGTGGACTGGAGTAAAATGGAATTCATATTTACAAAATTAAAGTAACACCAACCCACAATGCATTGGGGGCAGAACCTGCTCTGAAAATTCCTCCAATTCGTGTATCACTGAATGTGCAACCTGACCGGTCAAGCAAGGCAATAGAGCTGCATGTCTAAGGAACTGATCCCATTGACTAGGAGGAATTAAATGGTGATTGATTAGGGGAACAATCTACGCATTGTTTTCCCTGCCTTAACTAGTTGCCTGATCACACGATCGAGTGATATAGACTATTTAAAAGAGTAGGTGTTTACACATGTGTAATACAGTAATTGTAAGGTGAATAATTTCTTTGCTCTTTCCGAACAGGCGAATTGATAGCTTTCATGATTGTTTGATCCATTCAAAGTTTCACTGCTGTCAGTCACTTCAGTCATCATCAACATCATTCTAACCCCTCCCCAAACACATAATTATTCAATAACCTTTCCATGCAGCTCTATGTTACACACCAGAAACAAATACGCACACATATACTGTATATATATAGTGTGTATTCCCTTTCAAACTACACAGGCTGTGTTTTGTCCATAAGAAGAAGTTTCTCTCTGGCTGCCAGCAGGCCCAGTTATCTGAACCCCATCTCTGGTCTGTGGGAGGAGGGACTGAGAAGAAAGAGGAGGAATGAGGCAGAGAAGAGCAATGTTCAGCTTCAGGATCTGTGGTCCTGTGATGCTTTTGGTCTTCTAGATGTTTTTCCCCTTTAGTCCAGTGGAAGAGTCTCACCTCGCAGAAATGGGCTTGTGGGAGTGGGGGCTGTTACAGTTCAGAAAGAGGGCCCCATCCCTTACCTCCCTGAAAAACAGTGGGGTGGGGAGGTTTGGTGGTGATATGATGTTGTACAGACAGTGCCACGCCAAAGGAAGCTGTTCAGAATTACTGAGGATAGGAACCAAGGGCATTGTCCACGGTCTCTGAGCAAAGAGTTCGTCCAACTGTTTGTTCTTTCACCTGGGAAGTAATCTGTTTTGAAACATCTTCTTCCCCCCTCCCCATGCGTACAGCCCCAGTGGGGTGGGCGGCGGGTCAGGGGTCGGGGGTCAGGGGTCGATGCGGAAGGCGAGCAGCTTGTCGGAGTGCTGGTTGTTGAGGGTGCGGAGGTCGGGCAGCCGCAGCAGCAGCTTGGGGAAGAGCGCGGTGTCCTGCGGGTGGCGCCGCGTCACCAGCGTGCGCAGGGCGCGGATCAGGCCCTCCTGCAGCTGCTCCACCGCGGCCACGTCCACGATCCCTGAGCGGTCTGCGGCGGGAGAGAGGGGCACAAGGGTCAGAGGTGTGATCCGTTGTGTTTGAGGCCCTTTTGTGTTTTCTGAGGGTGGCTTGGTTACATTCTGGATTCCACTTACTGGGTTTGTTTTTTCCAGAGGCTTTCGCATTTGCCATGTACGAGTTTGCTTACTTTATGAGTTTTCATTGTTTGTTAAAATTAAAACCTTCTTTGTCGAGAGCCATTTTGCTCTCCTGGCCTGAACGGGTGTTAGAGAACCTGTCTATTTAAAGAAATAAGAGCCGCTTAATTAGCTAGTGAGTTTTCACTGCACTACATGATTTTGATGTGCCTGAAATGATTTAATTTAGCCCCACTACAGGAGAAATAACCCTTCTAGCATTGTAACAAGCTCTGTTACATCATCTGAAAATACACAATGAGCAAGGGGAGAGAATTAAATTGAATGATGTCTCACATGCTTTGGAACGTGAACGATCTGAATAATGGTAAATAGCATGAACCCCTTACGATACATATATATGTAAACGACACATATATTTTTTGGCAGCCAACACACACATATTGAAAATAAGTGAAGTTAATTAGACACACAGTGTCTGCTGGGCTCTTTATTTTCGGTATTTA